ACCCTCTTCGCTGCCCTCCTCTGGACACATTTCAGCTTGTCTCTATCCTTCTTAAACTGTGGTGCCAAAAACTGAACACAGCACTCTAGGCAAGGTCTAACCAGAGCAGAGTAAAGGGGCACCATCACTTTGCGTGATCTGGACTCTAGACTTCTGTTGATACGGCCCAAAATCACATTTGCCTTTTTAGCAACCGCATCACACTGCTGACTCATGTCAAGACCCCTGGATCCTTTTCACACACACTACTGCCAAGACAAGCCTCTCCCAACCTATAGTTATGCGTTTGATTTCTCCTACCTAAATGCAGGACTCTACATTTATCCCCACTGACATTCATTTTATCTGTTTTAGCCCAGTTTCCCAGCCTGCCAAGATTATTTATTTGTATTTATTTTTCTGATTGGCGCCCTGCCCTCCCCACCAGGGCCGGCTGAAGGTGACTCACATGAACAACAATCGACTGACCATAAAACATCTAAAAGCAGTTCGTTAAAAACCATGGTGGTACCACGTGAGTGCAAGCCATAAATTGTCTAAATGTTCAGCTCACTGATCTTCTCAGATATAATCGGCAAGCACAGGCTGTCAGTAGCAAACCAAGGGTCAGGGGCTCTATAGGTTTCAGTTGTTATTGATAATGGTGGCGGCTCTCCTAGCCGCTTTAAAAGGATTGCTGAATGCCTGCTGGTTTGCCTGCCTTTGCCACTTTGTTCTTGTACAAAAAAATTACAGATGAGAAGATGGGATGGGTTTCATTGTTGCAGCTGTCCCTATTAAACTTCTGAAACCTCAAGATCAGTCACCTGTCAGTGGGGGAGAGGCCACCCAAAATTAACTGCAACTGATTTGTATAAGCAGACAAGGCAATGTACATTGAACACTGAAGCCACCCTGAGCCTGCCTAGGCGGGGAGGGTGGGATATGAATTAAATAAATAAATTGATAAAGATGTTTAAAAGGTCCCAGGACAGATCCTTGAGGCACTCCACTTGTCACTCCAAGGAGATGAACCATTCACAAGCACTCTTTGGGTGCGATCTGTCAACCAGTTACAGATCCACCTAACAGTTATAGGATCCAAACCACATTTTTCCAATTTGTCAACAAGAATATTATGTGAAACCTTATCAAAAGCCTTACCAAAATCAAGATAAACTATGTCTACAGCATTCCCCTGATCCAGCAAGTTAGTAACTTTCTCAAAAAAAGAGATAAGGTTAGTCTGACATGACTTGTTCTTGAGAAACCCATGCTGGCTCTTTGTGATTACAGCTGTCCTTTCTAAATGCTCAAGGACTGTTTATTTGTTTTAAAACTTTCCCAGGTATAGACGTCAAGCTGACAGGTCAGTAGTTACCCAGATCCTCCCTTTTCCTACTTCTTGAAGATGGGGACAACATCTGCCCACCGCCAATCTTCTGGCACCTCACCTGTTCTCCAGGAATTCTCAAAAACAATGGACAGAGGCTCAGAAATTACATCCGTGACTTCTTTTAGTACCCTTGGATGCAGCTCATCTGGCCCCAAGGACTTAGTTTCATTTAAAGAAACTAGGTGTTTATGTATTACCCCCATGCCAATCCCAGGCTGCAACTCCCTTCCCTCATCATGTGTTCTGTTTTTGCCATATTGAGCACCGTTTCCCTTGCAAGAGAAGACTGAGGAAAAGTAGGAATTGAGCAGTTCTGTCCTCACTTCATCACGTGTTACAGTTTCACTTTCCCGTCCCCTCAATGGGCCTTCCATGTCCTTGCTCTTTTTCTTACTTTCACCGTAAGAAAAGAACCTAGCCTAAGCTGATACTGAGCTTTAGCTTTCTGAACTCTCTCTCTACAAGCACTGGTCAATGTGGCAAGGTCCGGCCCAGACAAATAAGGAGTCAGCTGGCAGGCCGGGAGCAGATGAAAAAATGCTGACCACGCTATCATGGACACTTGTTTATCCAATTCTAGCACAGAACCCAGCCACACCCCGAGACTCTTACAGGGTCCACAGCGGGGTCAGCTGGACACCACAGAGTCTTGGGAGCGGCCCCTCCGGCTGGCATCTCCGTCTTGCCCAGCCACACGGCCTCCGTCTGGGATGGACTCCCCTTCAGCCACCTCCCCCTTAACCATTTAACCACTCGACCACCGCACCCAGGCCCTGGGACTGTGCCGAGAGCCCCGCTGCAGAAGGAGGAAGAGCTGAGTGCCATCGGTATATTGGTGGCCCCCAACTCCAGGCCTCCCGGCGATCTCGGCAAGAGGGTGTATATATAGGTTAAATAACATCAGAGAGAGGGGATTGGGAGCGGTGGCGCAGGCAGTAAGTGCAGCCTGCATTAACATCTGGCTAAACAGCTTCGGCTGTTCGAGCCCCATCGCGGCCGGAGTGAGCTCCCGGCCTACGTCCCAGCTCCTGCCCACCCAGCAGCTCGAAAGCCCGTTAAAGGGCAACTAGATAAATGGGAACCTGCTAATAGAGGGGGGGGCACCCGTCCCTTGTGTAGCAGCGGCGAAACGGTGAACGGCGGCAGCGGAAAGAATATGGTGGCGGCTGGCGAGGCAAAAGGCGAACGAAGGAGGCCGGACCAACAAGCACGGAGGCGGAGAGACGCAGGCCAGAGCCTACTTGGACGGAGGCCGCGAGCATGCGCGGAAGTGCGAGTGGTCGAGGCCCGGAAATGAATTCGCAACAGCCGGAAGGAGGAACCTCAAAGACCAGCGCTGGAGTGGACGCTGCCGGACTACCTCTCGCAAGGCAGTAACAACAAAGATCCGCTACACAGAAAGGGTGCCTGGTAGGCTTGTCACGTCCCCTACATGTATGTGGTCCTAGGTTTAGGATTGTATGAATTGGAACATGTAAGCTGCTCAGAGCCCTTAGGGGGTGAGCGGGATACAAATTGAAATATAAATAAACAAACAAACAAACCCTGTGGGACCCCACTATTCAGGTCTTGTTGGGAAGACCTCCCCTCCCTGATAGCGACTCTGAGAGCCTCTCTGAAGGAACGAGAAAAACCTGGAAGTATGGGATGGGTTGTCATCAGAATGGTGATGATACCCAGCTCTATCTGTTGATTGAACAGATGGCTGGACTCTGCTCTGGAGGTGCTGAACAGGGCATTACAAGCTGTGACTGGATAGTTTCAACGGAGTTGGCTGAAACTGAATCCAATGAAGATGGAGGTCCTGTACCTAGGCCGTGGGAATCTGGGATCAGGAATCCAACTCCCAGCCATCGACGGACAGGACACCACTGGTGCCATTGCCGAGGGTGAAGAGCTGAGGGGTGGTCCTGGATACCTCCCTTTCTACGGAGGCCCAAGTTGCCACCGTTGCTTGATGGGCCTTTTATCACCTTCGGCCGGTCAAGCAACTGGTTCCCTATCTCACTTCTCAGGACTTGGCAACAGTGACCCATGCAATGGTCACTACCATATTGGATTACTGTAACTTGATCTACGCGGGGCTACCCTTGCGCTTTACCCAGAAACTGCAGCTAGTGCAGAACGCAGCAGCAGCAGGGGTGTTGACAGCGATGTCTGTGCGGGTGCACATTCAGCCTGTGCTGTGCCAAGTGCAATCGCTACCAACAGAGCACTGAGTCCAGTTCAAGGTTTTGGTGTTAACCTTCAAAGCCCTGTGCAGCCAGAGACCCACATATCTTAAGGACCACCTCTCCCAGCCTTACGATCCAGCGATCCATCCCTTTTGGCTACCCCCAGCCTGGGGAATGTCTGACTGGCCTCGGCCAGGGCTGGCCCCCGTCTGGCGGGTGAAGCTCCCACTTGAGACCAAGGCCCTGTGGGATCCGTTACAGTTCCGCAGGGCCTGCAAAATGGAGCCGTTCTTCTGCGCTTTCGGGTGAGGCATCAGACATCCACCTCTATCTCGGGCTCCCTTCCTGCCAGGGCTGGTTTTTAATCTAGTGAATTATCCAGTGGCGCCACTCAAACCCCAGGAAGGAGTGATCTGTCCATGACAAGGCAGCCGTCTTCAATCCTCCCACCTTCAGATTGCTTTCTTTCTGCCCAGAGCAAAATACCAGACCAAGAGCGTGTGACCTGCACGGTGTGTATGTGTGGGGGGCTGTTATTACCCAAGACAGGCCCGTGGTTGTTATATGGAGACCATGAACTCCTGAGCGGCTCCCGACACAGACATGGTCCCACTATGAGTGATGCCGGGCATTAAGGGTTCCTTAAAAGGGTACACTATTGCTCCCCAATCAAAAGCATGAGGCAGATTTGAAATGGAAAAGGTTACTGAAGAAGGAAATGTTACAGTTTTGGGTGACTTCAACTGCACTCAAATTGACTAGGCAAACAAGTACTCCAGTCCTGCAGTAGAAACAAGGCCCACAAATGTAAATGACTGTGCACGGGGACATCAGAAGAGCCCTGCTGGAACAGACTAGTGAGGGTCCACCTAGTCCAGCATCCCCTCTCACACAGAGGTCAATCATTGCCCTGCCCGGGAGGTGGGGGTGGGGGTAGGACACACACACCACAAAAAGGGGCAGAGAGGCCAAGGCCTTTTCCTAACGCTGTCTCCTAGCACTGGGTTTCAGAGGCTTGCTGCCTGACTATGGAGGTTCTCTTTATTCACCATGGCTATGGCCATTGATGAACCTCTCCCTTGGGATTCACCTGTCTTTAGAGCCATCCCTGTGGCCCTGACATTCTCTGCTGAAATGAGCTTTGACTCACTGAAGATTATAGGCTGGAAAAATCGGTTGGTTTTTTAAGGTGGCACGGGACTCGAATTTTGTTCTACTGCAGCCACTGGCAGTAAATTTCACACTTCAATTACCCACTGAGGAAAGAAGTACTAGTATTAGTATTACGGGAGTAATACTAATAGTAGTACTAGTATTACGGGAGACAGAGAAAAAAACTCTCTCTTAGTGACAGGGCAGCGGCGAGGAAGCGGTCCTGAGCGCCCCCCCCCCGGCACCCTGCTCCCCTTTTTTTTAGGCTCCCCCCTCCCCCAGGCTCCCCCCTCCCCTACCGGGCTGCTCGCCACATGGCTCTCTTCTCCTCCTCCAGGGCCCGCCGCTCTGCTGGAGAGAGCTCCCTCCTGGCCTCCTGAGCGGTGGTGGTGAGGAGCTCCGGACTCTGCACCCGCAGGCGCTCCTGGTGCCGCCGCTCGGCTTTGGCTGTCCTCACGGGCAGGCTCCACTCTCCCCCTCTGGGAGGCACGGGGCGCAGCCTGCTCACAGGAGAGGGCACACAGAGGAGGGTTACGCCAGCCGGGGCTGAGCCCAGGGACCACCCCCACCCCCGGCCCCCCTCTTACCCGGGCACGGACGGGGGCTGCTGCTCTGGCTGAGAGCCTTCCTTGAGGGAGTTCCTCTGGGAGCCGGCGGGTCCGTCCGGCTCCGGAGACCTTGCGGGAGAGGAGAGAGGCATCAGCAGAGCGTGTGTGTGTGTGTGTGTGTGCGTGGCCCGGGGAGCTCCCCCGGGAGAACTGGCTGCCTGCCTGCCTGCCGTGGCCAGCGGAAGGAACCCCCGAGAGCCTCCAGCCCGACGACCACAATGACAATGACAACAGTGTGTCTTCGCGGAGGCAGGGAAAAGCCGGATTCGGTGCCGGGAGAGCAGGCGGCTGACTCGGCCCCCGCTGCCTCCCCGCCTGGCCAAGGGAGGCGCCCTTCAGAGGCTCTGAGGGGCTCAGAGGTTTATCCGCCACATCTATAAGTCCGCCTCCCTTGCAGAGACTCAAGGCGGGCTAGAGAACAGAAAGCAGCACGTCCACGCAGCATAGACTCCCCACGAGCAAGGCAACAGGGCCAACCATGAGCTGCCTCCAGCAAGGGCGGGAGCAGAGATCGGGCCACGCCGCTCACCAGGCCGCCGGGGACAGGAAGGCCCTCCCGTCCAGCTTCTCAACCTTGTACTCGACTCCCTCGATCATGACGCTTGACGGAGAACCCGCCTCTGCCGGCCACTCTCCCACGCCAGCCTCCTCCTGCTCCTCTTCCAGCATCTGGGCGCGCTTCTGCTGGAGTTTGCGAGCTGCCCGACAGAGAAAAGGCTGGTCGGCCGCCGAGCAGCAGCTGCTTCTCTGCAGCCAGCCCTTCTTCCCACACCTGCCCCCGGGACAGAGGCACCCCTGACTCGACCCGACAAAATCCCTCCTCCGAGCACAGCAGAGGACTGGGGTGGGGGGTGGGGGACTGCCCTCGGACCCAAGATGAGCACGAAGGAGACTTCAAAGGGGGGATGGATCTGCGCAGAGGACTCTGTGGCTGGATGGAGGCAGGGCAGCAACAGCACCCTCTGCGGCTCAGCAAAGGAGGGACCACACATGGCCAGCTCTGCCCCTCAGGTGCCCGACGGCCCCGGGTCTCTCTCTGCCGGGGCGGGGGGCACAGTGGGCTGCTGCTCAGCAAGTCCCAAGCCCAGCAGCGAGTCCACCTGCCTGGAAGGGACCACCATGGGGCAACCACTGCTTCCGGGGAGCCGGGGGACACGGTGCCGGGCAGAAAGGCCAGCGGGGGAAGGCGTGGTGAGGACCCAGGGCTGGGCAGGCCTGGCTGCAAAGTGCCACCCTGCCCACAGGGGAGTGAGAGCCAGTCACTCAGCCGGACCTACCTCACAGGGCTGGTGTGCGGATAAAAGCATGGGGGTTACTGTACTCTAGCCTGAGCCCCTTGGACAACAGGCGGGCTAAAAATTTAGCCCACCGAGAAATACCACTCTGGACAGACACCGCTGGGGTGGGGTGGGGGAGTGGGGAAGCGTGGCTCAGCAGGGAGAGGGACCCTCCCCGGTCCCGGGAGTGCCGCTGCCTCGGGAGAAAGGCCGGGCATCAGGCCGCCCTGTCTCTGGGCCTCTCCCGCCCAGCCTCTTCTCACCCCTCTCGCCCCTCACCTTCCTCCTCCTTCATTTTCTTCAAGTCCTCTTCTCCCACGAGGGACACCCGCTTGGGGGGCTTCTCAGCCGGTTGCTGCTTCAGCTCCACTTCAAAGTACTTCTGCCGCTCACGGAAGGACCTCTGCTCCGGGCTGTGCAAGCCTCCGGGCAACGGCACCTGCAGGGGGGCCGCAGGACAGCTTTCCTCGCTTGCTCCCCACCCCGCGCCGGGCCACAGCGCCAGCCTGGCCCACGTGTCCGGCAGCCGGCCGGCCAGCCAGCCAACCCCCCCCCCCC